TATTAAGAAGCAGTTTATACTCGTATACTTTTCAGAGTATTAAGAAGCAGTTTATACTCGTATACTTTTCGGAGTATTAAGAAGCAGTTTATACTCGTATACTTTTCGGAGTATTAAGAAGCAGTTTATACTCGTATACTTTTCGGAGTATTAAGAAGCAGTTTATACTCGTATACTTTTCGGAGTATTAAGAAGCAGTTTATACTCGTATACTTTTCGGAGTATTAAGAAGCAGTTTATACTCGTATACTTTTCGGAGTATTAAGAAGCAGTTTATACTCGTATACTTTTCGGAGTATTAAGAAGCAGTTTATACTCGTATACTTTTCGGAGTATTAAGAAGCAGTTTATACTCGTATACTTTTCAGAGTATTAAGAAGCAGTTTATACTCGTATACTTTTCAGAGTATTAAGAAGCAGTTTATACTCGTATACTTTTCAGAGTATTAAGAAGCAGTTTATACTCGTATACTTTTCGGAGTATTAAGAAGCAGTTTATACTCGTATACTTTTCGGAGTATTAAGAAGCAGTTTATACTCGTATACTTTTCGGAGTATTAAGAAGCAGTTTATACTCGTATACTTTTCGGAGTATTAAGAAGCAGTTTATACTCGTATACTTTTCGGAGTATTAAGAAGCAGTTTATACTCGTATACTTTTCGGAGTATTAAGAAGCAGTTTATACTCGTATACTTTTCGTTATTTGACGTTGATGATCGCCGAGCACCAGATCTGAAGGAGTGAGTCCCCGAAGTCCCAAAGTTTTAATCTTTTTTAAGTTCCGAGTCTCCAATCCAGCAGGGCTTCGCCTCTCTCCAAAAATTTCCAACCCTTCAAAATGAACAACCCCCTCTCCTATTTATAGCCAAGCGTCACTGTGCACGTGTGCACGTGTGGCCGACACTCAAGGTGGGGGCCGAGCCACCTTGAGGTGGCTCGGTTTCGGCCGAGCCCCTCCGGGTGTTGTTCGTTCCGTCATTTTTCCGTTGTCCGGTTCTGTGCTTCGTTGTTGATCTGGACTTGATTCGGTTGTGTTTCTGTTGTGTGGTCGATTGACCTGGAAACGACTCGTTGACTTGATTCCAGATTTGGCAGTAAGTCCGGATCCTGATTAGGCAGTAAATCCACTTCTGAGTCTGAGTCCGAAACTGATCTTGATTCGATCGTGATTCGTTCGAGTCCGCTTTCGGTTGGATGACTCGTTGACTCTTTGAACACTTGGCTTGATCCCGCACGCGAATGGATGTATTCCGTTGCTTGCGTGCGATTCGTCGATCTCGTCGCCTCGTTGGTTTGTCGGTTCGTGCCGAGCTGAGCTAAGGGACCTATAAGCAATTTTATATGCCTACACTCTTGGGACAATCCCCGACTCTCGCCACACACTTCTCTCGGTGTACAAGTGTATTACAAAGTGAATCTCAAAATAAGCACAATACAATAAATGATTGTTCTCTAATATGGATGAGAACACAATAAAAGCTCACAGTCAATTGTTACAACTCTCACCAACCCAAATAATGTATAAAAATACAATAAGCTTAAGTGGGTGTGTGTAAACAATGAGTGAAATAAAATCTAAACTCAATATAAAAACTAGCTGTAAAGAATGAAAATCAAACAAATATGCAAATGTAAAGCTAGATAAGAGTTTAGAAATGCTTCTCTGAAAAACAAGATGGAGAGATGGATTAAGATGAAGCTCAATCAATGTAGATGATCTCCTCCACTTGTGTAAAACTATTTCCCAAGCAAAAACTCTTTTAAACAAACACTAAACAAACTTAAACCCTTGTTAAACTCTTGTTTAAAAACTTCTTGGATTGCCAAGAGAACTGAGATCAATGGGGTATTTAGGGCCTCCCAAAACCTCAGCCAAAAACTTCAAACAAAAGACCAAAAAGCCCACAGAATTGGAAATCAGATTCTGTATAAAAATAGCCATTGGAGTGAACGACGGTCGACCGTGAAATTCTCGCGGTCGACCGCGAGCCACTTTCGAGCCTGAGAAATTTCCAGAAAGTTAGACGGTCGACCGTGGGAATTTTCGAGCTGACGGTCGACCACGAAAGTTACTGATGGCTCCATAGGGAAAAACAAAGGCGCGGTCGACCGTACACTGACATATGAGAAAACAGGTTTGAAAGTTGATTTTTTGATTTTAAAACCCTGTTTAAAAATATTAAATAAATTCCAAAAATGTAAAACTTTGAGGAATGATTGTAAACATGATAATAAACATACTACAAGACTGGTTTTCAGAAAGGACCTCCCAAATGAAAAATATCATCATTTTGTAAAATAGTCCAAAACATGAAAATGTGAACATATGAGTTTTGACATTTTTGCTTAACCATGTTTTGAAACAATACAAAATAATTTTATAGACTTAATAAAAGATATATATAATAATTGTTAAGTCTATAAACTGAGAAAACAATATTTTCACAAATACAATAGAAAATAAAACATATGAGTATATATATGAAAATATATGTGTTTCATATCTAAGTAGTTAAACCAAATCACAATAATAAATATGAAATATGTAATTTCATATTTATAAACATGAAAGCCAAAACTTGTGTTGTATATATATATGACTACATATATATACAAGGAAACCAATAAAATATGTGTACTTAACATACATAATATAACACCTAAACTAAATTACCCAAGCTTGATCTTGATCTTCATTGTAGCTCAACTTGGTAAGCTTACGGATGAAGCTTGAACTTGGATCTTCAACTTGAATTGTATGGCTTCACTCCATAATTCCGCCAACCTCCATTGGATATGATCGTTGAAGTGCAATTCCATCCATCCTCCAATATATTGTTTGCCTAGAATAAATATAAAACACAAACACTAGACAAACAATATTAGATGTAAATTGTTTGTAAATCGTCATCAAAACAAGAAGGCTAACAAGAATAACTATCAGTATCCGTTTAAATCTAAACCCGTTTGCGTTCATATATATAGAGTACAGATTTTTGACGTTCGTTTCTCTCCTGCTTTTCTCTTGAACGAGGTGCGACTTTGACGTCAACAAGATACATGTTGGATATTTTGTTGGAGAAAAGACAATTTTGCCTTTGTGAATAGTCTCACATTGTAAAATGAAATGAATAGTTTGTGATTTAAATTGCATCTTCTCTTATTGCGGTTTGAATAGTGTTTTGGGTTTTATATTGTTTGGGCTTTGCATATCACATGCGCGCGCGCACGCCTCACCGCAACGTGCACGCGCCATACCGCACTCGCACGTTTTTTGTTTTCTCTGGCTTTATTTTGCACGTTTTCCATGTGTGTAACGGCTGCGAGTTTATTGCATAACGGTCAACATTATGGCGAACGTTACCGAATTGATTACTAGATTTTTATAACGGCTCTCTAATACCCGTATATAAGCAGCCCTTCTCATTCTCGGAAAACACACAACAATTCTCTTGTTTCTCTTCTTTCCTCTGCATATTATTTTCTTCTATATTTTGGTTTTACTTTTTGTGCAACTTTCTTCATCTGAGCAGAAGCTCTGTTCTCTCGCCCGAGTACAGAGATCGGCCACTTCCGGGGGTTTTACCACTAGGGGAGAGAGGATCATCTGTGCTAGGGCGATACGCGAGTCTTTAATCTTCTAGGGCAGTGATTACACGACTGTTCCCATTCAGGCCAGATTTTAAAATTTTATTTTATTCAGATTTATCTGCATTCTATAATTTTATTTGATTTTTTTCAACAATCTAGAAGATTTAAGTAGTTTATAGCTTTTGTTTTAAAATTAGAAAAAAATATTAAAAGTTACTGTTGATTATAAGTTACTATTGATTATAAGTTACTGTTCACTCGAATTTTTTACATTCCTTCTTGTTAAAAATAATTGCTTTACTGTTCATCTTTAAAAAGGGGAAGTACTGTTCATCCGGGAAGTGATATTTTGGAATTACTGTTCATCCAAAATAACTTTAAATCTATAATTAATTACTTTAATTATTATTAATTAATGCATTTATTTAATTGTTGTTAATTAAGTTGTAATTAATTTCTGCTAATTAATTTTAATAATTAATTAAAATTAATTGCATAATTGCATCTTGTAATTGATTGTATTGTTAATTAGTTGTTGTTTTAAATTCAAAAAAAAATTATTACTTTTGGTGGAAAAAGGAAAATTTTCTATCACATTCCACTTCACATATATGGGAAGCACCTATTTGGTAAATGTTGTTTGCATTATTATTGTGACAGTCATGTTCTCATGATTATACAACTTTTGTTTGTGAAACCTTGAAATGTTTATATTATAACGATATTATATATGCACAGACTTTTCTAATTATTTGTTGATCAGGAAAACATGGTTTTTGGTTTGAAAAAAAAATTGTTTTTCAAAATATTATAATCTCAGCTATGAACTGGAACTTTCATGGTTTTATGCACCCGTTAGTAATATTGTGTATAATTAACTTTCCTCTGCATATTATTTTCTTCTATATTTTGGTTTTACTTTTTGAACAATTTTCTTCATCTGAGCAGAAGTTTTGTTCTCTTGTCCGAGTACAGAGGCTGACCGCTTACGGTGGTGTTTACCGCTAGGGGAGAGAGAATCATCTGCGCTAGGGCGATAGGCGGGTCATTAATCTTCTACAGCAGTGATTACACGACTGCTCCCGTTTTATTGTTTTATTTTATTCAGATTTATCTGCATGCTATAATTTTATTTGATATTTTTTCCAACAATATTAATACCTGCGTAAGCTCATAGCAAAAGAAAGATGGTACGGTACTTAGTAGTTTTCAGCGTAAATGTGTTATGTCAAGCATCGGAAACAAAACTTCTCTCTTTAATTTTGGAATGTAACAATTGTGTGCATTACATCCGAGTCAAAACCAAACAAGCCGACATAACAGTCTTTGATCAGTTTGGTTTGATATTGAATTATAGACGGTTCGGTTCAGTTTGGCAGATTTTGACCAAAAAACAAACCTCCCGACTGTTTGCACAGCCTTACTTGTTCTTTTTATTCAATAGTTCCACTCATCATATTGCTGAATGTTATCATTACTCTTGCAGAAAATTCTTTACATCTCCATCATAAACCAAGACACACATATATATAGCCTGAGAGAAAAACTCGATCAATTGATGTCACAAAATTAGGATGCTTCAAGAAGAAGCCCCCTGTAATTGATCATGAACACTTCTTATTTCGATGCTGCAAAATTATCTTTGTAGCAGATCAGGGCCACTATTGCTTCATTTCAACAAGTTACTGATCTCCTTCAGAGGTGAGCGACTACTGAAATTGCTCTTCGGATTGTTCAGGCGACAGACGAGAACATGCTTCTCTTTCTCAATGGCAGCATAATCCGGTGATCTCTCCTCTACTTGTTGGCATCTAATCTTCGGAAGCCTCGCCTGCTTCCATTCATCACAATGCACTAAATTCTTCGGCTCATCCACCTTCTTCTCTGATGCCCTTGCCCTTTGTTTCCACTCTATCATCTGCAAATAGTAGTATTTTTTTTTCGAAGTGATTTGAGTTTAAAATGTTTTTGGTTGAAATTTTTGTGGGAAATGAAATTTTGGTTACTGACACGAGAGTGAAGAGAGCGGATATTGAGCTCAGACGCGATGGCTCTGCGTTTCCAGAGGTCTTTGGATGACTTGAGCTGCTCCATTTCGAGCCTGACTTGATCGAGCATTTCCTGCATCTCGGTCCATTGCTCTGTCTCGGACTTCACCTCCTCTGCTATTCTTGTTACAATCTGCTTGCAGCTACAACAGCATCTGTTGCTCACAGTTCCCATTTCTTTCATCTGTGATTGTCATAAACTCAGATATCAGTTTTCAATCTTCATCACATTTTCAGTAGAAATTAGCATATACTTCTTCGTAAATATTCATTTTGGGAGTTATTCATCACATTTTTGTCTTATTTGATACTGACTTCAAAACCAAAATAATCATCATCAACGCAACCATTCTTGAAGCAGTACTACTACCGAAAATAAAAGTTCGGCAGAACCTTCATATGGAAAAAGCCAAACATTTGAGGCACAGCAGTGCTAGGGAGCCTAAGCTCAATAAATGGGAACAAATATTTCCTCAGTGCCTGAAGTACTCCTCAGCTTAGCATTTATGCTTCACAGCAGATTTGTGATTAATAAAAGCTGAACATAGCTCAAACTTTGTTGGTTGGCGTACCATCTTTTTCATGCTATTCTTTTTAAGCTTTGTTAGTTTTGGCAACACAAAAGCTGTAGCATGCGTTTATTAATTTATCATTATTTCGATAAAAAGGGTAAATTTTTGAATTCAAGGGGAGAATGAATGTTGGGGGAAACGAGGGATTGAGATCCTCTCCAACTAAATGATAACTGGAGAGGGTCCAGTTATCTCAGTTCTTACCGTCTATCACGTCAAGTAATATGTACACTATCATAAAACAGTTTTTTTGACAATAGTGGTTTTCAAGACCTATATAATTTTTAAGATAACAATGGCGACATCATATGGTATGATCTCATCCATCGGAAATGATACATAATACAGTAAGGATTGAAATAATTGAACCGTCTCCAATTACCATGTAGTTGGAGAGGATCCGGATCCCCTCTAGGAGCCTGTAATTTTACACTCTTAAAACAAATCCTAACCGAGAAATCCGTAATGGAGCAGTAGGTTGAATATGCACGAGAAGCATTTTACCGATAATATCTGATCCGATCATAGGTTGAAAAAAAAAAAATACCTAAATCTCAATCAACTGCAAAGACCGCCTAGGGGTAAATTAGTTAATAAACTAAATGACAAGGTAACAAGTTGTGAGATCAGGCCCCAACCCCAATTGGGTGGAGGCTCATTCTAATAATAGAACAGGTCCCTGACCACTTAGATCCTGATTCAGCCTTCCACTGTTCCCCCGCATCCCGCACCTTTTAACTTAAATTAACTACTATACTATAAACTAATTTCAAACCAATTAAAAAATCCAAATAAATAAAAGTCGTAAGGTTTTTTGAATCTTGCCGTCCGTTGCTTGGCTGTCGCCTGCCCGCACCCAAACTTGGCAGTGGCAGCACTGTAGCTGTTGTTAACGGAGCTTGTAGTGTTGCTGCTTGAGGAAGGAGTAATCAAGAAGGATCCGTACTCCTCCATCCTCTCCATCATCCCCTTTGATATCCCCTCCATCTTTCTCTTCAGCATCTCAACCTAAAATTGATCAGCACGGCGTTAGTTTTATGCACCACTCAATAAATGTACAGACTAGCTAGTCGAGGCCTTACGTTGATTTCATGCTTCTGCTTGGCTAAACTTGAGGAGGAGGACTCGATCTCCCTTATCTCCCTCACACCGTGAGCTTCTCCGTCGACCCCTCTCGATCTCACCTTCAGCTCCCCCATCTTCTTCTCTATAATGTCACTCCCATCAATCTTCTTCCTTTCCTGACAAACTCAAAAAAAAAACCATATTAATAACCTTACGCTTCGATACCAAACATAATGAAAATGGAAAATGGAAAAAACAAAAGGGAAAGATACGCTTACGTGATTCTTTTCGAGCTTTCGCAATGCGGCATCCCGCTCCATTCTAAGCGCGTTGCATTCTTGGCGGAGCGCCTCGGCCTCTGCT